ACAACACTAATAATTTGTATTGCCAAAGTTGCTTGTAATTTACATTTTTGTTCTGCTTGATTATTTCTTGATGTAGGAAAGTTATATTATTGTCACTTTTGAATTTGAGTCTATAATAAAATTTAATTATACATTTTAATAGCAGGGGAAATGACCAGATACGATTTGTTTCATGTCGGAGAACATAACTGGGAATTGTTCTTTCCAGATGGAATAATTTACGTAGGAAATAAACATGAAAGGACTTGAGGAAATAAACATGAAAGGACTAATCTAGACTCCAGCTTGCATAATAAATAATAGAGCTGATTATAGAATTGTATAGTTTCATATGGATATTCAAATTAGAGGTTTTCAGGGTTGAGCATAGAAATAGAAGGTTATCGATAGCCAGCTTTACTTTGATGTTGATTCTTGAGATTTGAGCTTTGAAGGTTACATTCCAATCAAAGATGACACCCAGATAGTTTACTTCATTAACTGTTTGTAGTAGAGTATTGTCATGGTATATTTTAGTTTCTTTTTCAGATATTTTGCTATTATTGCAAAAAATAATAATGTTGGTTTTAGCTGGATTTATTACTAAGTGAATTGATTTAAAATAACGATTTAGCTGGTTAATTTTTCTTTGTAATGATATTTTGGTGGGAGCTAGTATTACTAGATCATCTGCAAATAGTATGTAGTGAAAGATTCTGTTTTTTTTTTTTTCAATACCATCGATAGAATTATGAAAAAGTTGATCAATGCCGAGTAGAAAGAAATTAAATAAATATAGCGAAACAGGATCACCTTGGAGAACACCACAAGAAAGAGTTAGAGGGAGGGAAAGGATCTTGCCTTGTTTGATCTTTATATTATAATTTGAGAAAAACTTTTTTATAGTAGATACAAATCAGGTACTTGCACTGCAGGCTTTTAAATTTTTTACTAGTAGTGGGATATAGATTCAATCAAAAGCTTTTTGTATATCAATGAAAGCAACATATACTTTTCCATGTTTTTTTAATAGATGAAGTTGCATTATCATTAGTAATATGAATATTGCTGATTCAGTTCCTTTATTTTTGGTAAAAGCATATTGAAATTTAGCTTCCTGATCAGTAACTTTAGTCCATTGTTGAAATTTATTTGCCAGTATTGAGGTAAAGATTTTCTTTTAGTTGATAATAATGCTATAGGTCTAATTATTAGGGAAAAGCTGATCACCCTTTTTATGGATCATGGTAAGAATAACTGTATTCCAAGAATCAGGAAAAGAAGTGGCTTTGTACATGGTGTTAAAGAGATTTAACAATTTTAACCTGGAGCTATTTGGAAGCATTTTTATAAATTTAGTATATTATCATTTCCTGGGGTTGAGTTGCTCTTTGTTTTCTGAATTGTTTCATTCAGTTCTTCAATAGTAAAATCAGAGGCTAAATATTCATTATAAGCATCAGTGTTTATTATTGGTAGTTTGAATAAATTTTTGGAAATCTTTGATAAAAATTTTTCCAAGTATCAAAATCAATGATTGGTGAATTTTCAGTTAGGTTTGATTTAAAATGGAATGTTCTTATTGTAGACCAGAATAGTTTACTGTCTTTACTATTTTTGATTAAGTTTGATTCGAGTTTCCTGAAGTAGTTTTTCTCTTTTGTCTTGAGTAAGTTGTTATATGATTGTTTGGCTTTCTTGTAATTAATAAAATTAGTATCATTAGAGTTTAGTCTGAAAATTTTTAGTTTAGATTGCTTTTCCATTTTCATTTTATGACAATCAAAATCGTACCAGATTTGTCTGAATCTATTATGGAGGTTTCTTTTTTCATTACTATTGTATATATAATCATTCATTATATTTGTCATTAATTTATAAATTTATTCACTATTGTTTTCTGTTATTATCGGAATGTCAGTAAATCGATTTTCAATTTCTATTGAATATCTTGAAGTTTCGTATTTTATTCTTTGACTTTTACTTGATAAGTTTTCTGATTTCTTAGTAAAAAATAGTAAAAATTTTACTATAGTAGGTAGGTGATCAGAGATGTCAAAAGTAGTTGTGGTGAAGTCCAGACAGCAATCCAGTAGTAAGTCTGAGCAGATTGTATAATCAATAGTAGATTTTCAGGCATATGTTAAACAAGTGTATTCTGCAAGAATATCAGGCTTGATGCATCCATTTATTATGTACATTTTAAGATCCGTTATTATTTCTATTATTTTTTCCCCAGCCTATTAAGCTGTTTATCTTTCAATTGATGAGTATTTTGTATTAGAAGATTAGGTCCATCATATTTAGAGTCCATTGTTTCACCGATTCTTGCATTAAAATCTCCTAGTATAATAGAGTAGGGAGTTATACGTTACCAAATATCAATTAGTTTGGAGGTTTCATTTAGATTTGTTAAATCATCAGGAGGGATATAAACAAGCATTAGAGTCATTAGTTTATTAGTTATATTTGCAAGAATGGATTTGTTGATTGAGATAAGAAGCAGGATGTAGTTGTCAGATTTTTTGTTTGTATTATTTTACAAAAATCTTTTTTTATTAATACCGCTAAGACAACCTGGGCCTATTGGTTTATGTGCCATTACTGATTCTATTATAAATTTATCAAAAAAATTTGACTTATAAGTTAATTCAGAGGTTATCCAAGTTTTCTCAAGTTATAGCAAAGAGATCTGCTACAAGCTTGGAATAAAGAGTTGATTAGAGGAATTTTATGTTTAAGACCATGGCTATTCCAGTTGACAATAGTAAATAATTGGTTGTTCAAATAAGTTTTATTATATTGAATTTTACTTTACTTCTTAGTATATCAACTTGTTGTATTTGTTAACCTAGAAGACAGAAGAAAGGTATCCACATGGACTAATTTCCCGGTATTTAAACTAAGTTAATTTTTCATGTTCATTTATTAAAGTGTCATTACATAGTTTGACCTGAGAATTATGTTTTCGCAGTTTGTAGAAAGTTGGGAGTGAGTATTTTCATCTAATCCTTGAGTTTTTTGTTAAGTCTGGTGATATTTGCATATTTTTCCATTCTTCTAGCAAATTCTGTTGTTTCTTCTGTATAAAGGTGGAAAAAATGCAATCACGAATATGATCACATTTTTTATAAGTTTAACGCAAAAAATTTTTGCATGTTTAATGAGGTAGTAATAAAATTATGAATTTCTAGTCTAGAAATAGTTTTAGAATTGGGATAATTATATATAATTATATTATTGTGGTGATGATCATTAATTAAATAGTCCATTATAAATTAAATACAGTCCTTATCTACTTGTAATTTTTCGACCTGTTGTTTTAGGTTTATTTATTTATTCTTCCATTTTTTCTGCTGTTCTTTAGTTTTACGGACGTTTTCAAGTATAAGGTCAAGATCTTCTTTTATAATGATCATTTAGCTAAAAAGTTTATTGTTAGAAGTGTTAATCAAGTTGGAGATTTTGTTCCATAAGACTGCTGTAGAGATGTCTTGTAGATTGTCCGGTTTGTTAAGTAAAGTAGGGTCGAAGTTAGTTGACTCACCTGAGAAACTATGAGTGCTTAGTTGTGACAAATTCTGGTTAGGGTTCATGTCCTCTGTGAAGTCTTCATGAGAGTTTTTTTCAGAATTTAAGTTAAAATCCATTATTAACCTGAAGTTTGATGAGGATGGTTGATTCTTTTTGCTTTCTGGTTTAAAGCAATTCATTGGCAGTTTTCCCTGCTTTGGTGGAGAACGTTGCATTTTTACTTATATTATTATTACCTCTGGTGATATTAGTTAAAACAAATATAAACTTTTATAACACTTTAAGTTAGTCAGAATCAATCAACACTTAAACTTTATGCAAATAATAAAGTGAACAGGAAAAGTCACCAGCAGTCTTGATGGTTGGAACACATCCCCCAAAATTAATAATTATATTTAATTAATTAATTTAGATTAAACTGGAAGAAGAAAATTGACCCAAAGCGGGACCTGAACCCATAACTCCCGCTTACCGTGCGGATGCACTGCCAGTTATGCTACCTGAACCTTCAGTCCAATCTTCTCTTCCATTAAGATATAACCATCTTAAACTTATATATACTGGAAGAGGAAATTAGGATAAGAGGAGGATAGCATAACTGGCAATGCATCTGCATGGTAAGCAGGAGTTGTGGATTCAAGTCCTGCTTCGGGCCAATTCTCTTCATCCAGTTTAATTAAATTAATTAATTAAATATTATAATTATTAATTTTAATACGAGATGGTGCCTAATGCCTCATTCTAGTGCCAAATTCATTTCTAATTTATAATCATTATATCCAAATTTGGCCCGATCATTTATGGCAGTTGTGGGTGTATATTTGCTTAATATCAGATTTTGATTGCTGTGTATATTAAAAATAGTTTTAATGGAATGCGTGTATCAAACATTAACTGATTCAAGGATATAGTTTATCAATTTTCTGGCAATAACTGATGTCAGGTAGTTAGTTTTTCATTTGTTCAAATAAAGCATTTGCATTTTCTAGTGTCAAATCTCTTCATGATATCTTGGCAAGAGTCTAAAAATTTACAAAATTACATGCCTGTTATCTAGCAGCTGCTGCAAGTAGAATCACTACACTATGTGAATATGAATGTTTGTGTTACTGAGTGAATCAGCTATGATCACCAGTAATGGCCTCCACATGTCACAGAGCATGCCATTTAACAGTCAATGTCTCAATTAAACAGTATAATGTTCTCAAATCAAAACAAATTCTAATTATTTTCTTGATTTGTTTTTGGTAATTAGGATTTGCTCCAAATTACTACAGTTACTACAATTAACCCATTGACTCTAATAACCAGAATCTACTGTAATTAATAATTCAGTAACATTTAGAAAAAACATATTTTGAAATTCTTGAAGATAAAGTCATACAATCAAACTATAAGAGTTTAGTGTGAAGTAATTTCTTATATTCTAATACATTATTGAATAAAGTCACTATTTATAACTTTTATAATTAAACAACAATATAATAAAAATTTTAAATATTTTAAAAAATACATACTGATGTTGAAATCCATTCTCTTCCATACACATATGCATCACCTAACATTGAATCTAATGTTCCTTGGACATCTAACAAACTCTCAGGTAGTAACTCTTGGATATCAGAATTATAGACAAGCGTTTGATTTATCAGGCTGCTTGTAACACCAACAAGATGCATGCTTTCACCATATATCTATAACAAACAGTTATTTTAAAAAAGTGACATTTATAGAATGTTTTAACTATAATTTCAGCACAAAATTATTTTATAATTTAATTATTTACAAAAAAATTTTTTGAAGCAAAAATAAATTTATTAAATCTGAATTTTCTTGATCTATTTAGTTCAGTTTTTGTTTTACATTGATGCTTTTCTATAAACAGTCATGTGTATATATTAGTGATGGACAATTAACCGCATAAAAAAAATAATCAGGCAATTTAATCAGAATCAAGCAAATCCCATCACAGTTTTGAATTCTTAAAACAATTCTTTCACATTTAATAAGAAAATTAATTATTTGTTTCAGTCAAAGATTATAAATTTTTAAAATTACAATAAGAACAATTAAGCATTAGTTTCTTGGAAACTTTTGTGTTGACAAAGCAGACTACACAACACCCCATATACAAGGTGAAATCCATCATGGTGGACTTTTCTTTCATATAGTCAGTGTGACAAGAGATTGCACTTAATCTAAACTAATTGTCCCCATTTTAGAGACAATAGGGTGACATTAAGGTTGCCATCTGGCTAGTATTGGGCTGGCTTGACCAGAAATCTGTATTCTGTATCTGTATATAGTAAAAGCAAAATGTTCTGTCACTGTCTCAAATAATGTATATTTAAAATTAATTTATTTACAATTTGCAAATTTCAAAAGTTTTGAACAGTTTTAAAAACATTGTTTTAATTTTCAATTGATTTGATTTTAATTAATTTTGATTTTGGTTTCAGTATTGATGTAAAGCCAGAGTTTTAATTATTATTTTATTATTTTTAGTTTTAATTTATTCAATATTAATTTAGTTTTAGATTTTATAATTGTTTTTAATAATTTTTATTCATTTATTTAATTATGCATTAATTTTGATGACATTTTTGAATGCTTCATTACAATTTTTTAAATTAATTGCAATTATTTTTTTTTGCAATAGAACTATAGAAATTGTTTTAATGTTGTTTCACACAAATGATAATCAAATTTAAATTTATTTTAATTTTTTTAGTAATTTTGTTAATTTTTGTTTTATAAATTTGCTTGCTTTAAAAAAGTTTTTTTAAAATTATAACTGAGTGAAGATTCAATATCAGTTGATCAGTTTTTTCAGGTCAATAATATACAGCCTCTAAATAATGAAATTCATCTTCAGTCCTATTTCCCTTAGCAGTGTTTGGTATTTTATTTAATAATTTTTTTTTTCACTTTCAGACTATATGGTTGAACCCAAAACTGTTCTTAAATATTTCTTGATCTGTGGCAAAAAGATAAATGCATGCTCCTGTTTACAATGCAAAATTCAATATATAAGTGCAATTTGTTATAATAAATTTTAAGATAAGGGTGCTTTAAAGCACTATAACTGTTATAGCAATTTTTAATTATAGTTTTTTTTTATGCCAGGAAAATGCATGTAATGATTTATACTTAAAAAGTGAAGAAACAAAAAATATCTTTATTGATAATCCAGTCAAAAAACAAATTGCATAGAAATGTCACAATTAATTTTGTTTCACTCACTATAAATATTTTTTTAAACAAAAAAAAACGATGTAAAAAAACAAAAAATAAGTTTTTGGAAAACTTTTGTTATGAGTTCGGCTAAAGAATAAATGTTATAAATTGAGTACTGTATACAATAACATGACTAAGATATGAATATCCAATTATGAATTTCAACTAGGCAACTAATAACCACAGTTTTTCTTGGTCAATTAAAACTTATCTATTTAATAAATTTTTTTCTTAATATTTCTTGACATAAAATTATCTCTAATAATAAGCTGAAATAAATTTACTTGTCTATAATACAGTATTATCCCAGACTTACGCAATAGGTGGGACAAAGTGATAACCACGTAAGTCAAATTTGTGTAAATCGGGGTATAATTTCGTAATTTGTGTAAAATCCAAATCGGATGTACGTAAGCTAATAAATGTTCTCGTTAATCTTATCTCGTCTTTTCATTCGTTCACGGTTATAAGAAATCACCAGATAGTCTCTCAAGTCTCCGTAGATATAACAAACACAGAAATAAATAACACAAAATAAATTGTAGCTATGTGTTGATTCCATGCAGCACGTCTGAACGTGTAAGCTAAACAATAGTGTGGGAGGAGTGAGTAATCAAGAGTTGTGTGGCACTCAAACAAAAGACAAATCGACGAGGTTTGAAAATCACATAACTCCGGGTTTGCATAAGTTGAGGTATTACTGTATTTTTGTTAACTTGTACACATTTTGTTTATTGTAATTTATTCTTTTGTATCTTTTAATTTATAATTTATTCCCTTTATGGAGTTAATTTTTTATTTTAAAAGGATGTAAAAAAATAACATTTATTTACCTGGACAGCAAGAAAAATTGTTCCAACAACTGCAAGAATAAATACAATCAAAATCACAGCTATACTGGTAAAAGTATCAATTGAACCTTCAAGAATTGAGGTAATCTGAAATTAAAGTTAAAAAATTATTATAAATCAATAATAAATTCAATTTTATGTTAATAACTGTAAAAATTTATTTGGAACAAATATAACTAATAAAAAAAGTAAATTTATTATACAAGATACATTTAAAATCATAAAGTTAATTTTGGAAATCAATAAAATTAAATTTTAATTACTATTTCATTTTCTTAAAATATATCATTTAGAACAAGTGTCTCAAACTCAAACACAGCAAAGGGCCAGTCAAATAGATGTATATCAGATGCGAGCCATATTCAAGAAATTATTCAGTAAACCAAAACATGCTGTAATTTAAAACAGGCTCTAACAAAGGCCCTTTTGTTGCCAGGCCTTTATGACTTGCATAAACAGTTTAACATTTGAATTTTTCTGTTTTAATCCCTGCAAGATTTTAGAAATATTGATTTTTAGAAAAGAAATTATCAAGGCTGCAGGCCAGATATGAAGCCTTAACAGGCCACAAGTTTTTGACCCCTGATTTAGAAGATATTTTGTAAATTTAATTAGAAAATTCTGATTAAAAGTTAATTAGCTAAAAAAGTATCATAAAAAAAAATAAATTATTATATTCAAATCACTTAAGTCATTAATATATCCCTAAATATAATATAATTTAAAATGTTATGAAAAGTAAATGAAGAAAAATTGTTGAAATTTTTATTAACAACTAGCAGACCCTGCCATGCGTTGTTGTGGCTCAAAATGTATCTATTATAAATGTATAACACTTCCCTCGTGGGGGGAATTTTTCGAAAAATCCCTTTTTAGTGTATACTCTGTTGACATACCCTATTAAAACACAATCAAAAATGCAAAAAACTGCATCTAAAATAGTATCAATAGAAGCAGAGTTCTTCATGGTAAGCCTTAATCAATGTCCATCTCCCCCCCCAGTGGGGGGAATCTCAACATGTATATTATATAAAAACACGTACGTATTCAAATGCAACATTGTGTCAAAATTTCAAAGGAATCGGTAGGAACAAACGAACATTACATTTTTATTTATATATAGTAGATAGATAGATGATCTACTTTACTTCATATGAACCTCACAGAAAAGCAAACTTAGGTCGTCATACTCGCGGAGTTAGTGCCATCTGTTGGACATAAAAGCCTTAATCCTAGATGATATCTTTTAATTTATATGAATGCTTAACAGAATAATATACAGCCTGTGTCCACCCTGAAGTTCCATTCTAAATATTGGTGAAAGAATTTTTGAAATCGGATGAGTAGTTTCGGAGATTACCTCCTACATCCAAA